TCTTGTCAACCTTCATTGAATATATTTCTTGATTTCTTTTCACTTGCCTCAATTGTGGAAGTCTTATAAAGACTTTGCCTCCATATTTTTCCACCTCAAACCATGTATACATCAAACTCTACCATTTAATGCAACCCTTAGCCCCGTGTACACCTTGTGCTCTAATACCTATTATAGGGTTCTCGAGAACCCCTTGTTGGCAAATTGGGATAACCCAAATCCCTACTTGTGTGGTGAACGTCCCACAACAAATGAATCTAACACTCAAATAAAATACCCAAGAAGAACAATGTGTGTGTAATATATTTAGAAAAAATATATCAGCAAGAAAAACAAATAAATTGAGAAATCACCAAACTACAACACAAATAAGAGTAGAAGGAACACACATATTTACGTGGTTCACCCAAGATGGGCTACGTCCATAGACAATACGGCAAAAATGCATTCACTATCTCAAAGAAGAAATTTAAAAGCTTGGGGTTCTGTAGAGATTACCTTTTACATGACAAAGAAAGCTCAAATAGAAATTTCATACCACAATCCTACCATCAATTGAATCCTTGCTTTATCTCCATCGACTAACACCATCGTTACAAAGAATTCCCGATCATATCCGGCCCAATGCAAGAGCCACAATGGTGCTAGGGTTTGTCAAAAAAATCCCCAATCTCCACCTCCTAAAACTTCTCTACACCTGTCTTTTTCTTTTTCCTGTGTTGTCTCTCTAAAAATGCCTTAGATAGACCTCCATAAAAGACCTATTTTCTATAACGAAAATACCCTTTAACAAAAGAGAATACAAAACAGGGGTGATTTGCATTACCATTTCAACATTCTCCAACTTGATGCAAAGTCACTCCCTTACCTTGTCAAATATATCCATGCAGAAAAAACATTGAAACTCCAAAAACATATATGAAAAAACATTGAACTGGCAAAAAACCAGCCCGAATTGGTGAATCGGCGTCTGGATCATTGTTTTACTATAAAGAATCATTGGTCTACTCTACGGAACCGCCGGTTCCCTTCTAGACTCGGCCATTTTCCTATATGTACATAGAACTAGAACAGGGTGAGAAATTCTTAAGTCGGACTGGGCAATACAGTGCCCACTCGATATTTTTTAAATCAATGGACTAAACCAAGCTCTTGTTCACCAAGCTTTTATAATTCCCCAACAACCATTACGCTCGTCTCTCTATGATCTAGTGATTTAAGAAGCGGATTAGTGACTCGGATTGGGCAACCCAAAAACCAGTCCGGATTGATGAATTGGCAATTCAAATAGCCTTTCTAATGTCCGAAAAAAACAATGAACCGCTTAAAAAATATATGAAATAATAGTGAACCGGACTAAAACCGGTCCGGATCAATGAATTGGTGGTTGGAATTGCTTTTTTATTGTAAAGAATTGCTGTTTTACTGTTTGGAATGGCCGGTTCTCTTCTAAACTTGACTATTTTCCTATATATATACAAATCCAGAACGGGTGGCCGACTCTCAGGTCGAACCCGGGAGTATTTTTAAAATCACTGCTTTGATCAAATTCCTAAATCCGAACCACTCATATACAGACCCATTCTTGCTGTAATTGTGGGCCCTTAGAAAAAGGTTTGGTCTTCTACTCAAACATGCACAATAAGGGCCTCCATCCTAATCAGTGTATGTACATTTCCTATTCAGGGCATAGGTTTCATCCTCAGCAAGTCTTTATAACATTGATCTCCTTAGAAGCAACTATTTGTCGCCTGTGATATGTGAATCCATTGGTGCACATAAAGTTTCTATAGGAACATATGTTATGATTCAAATAATCGTGCAAAAACTATTAGAAATCCACGATAAGTTTATAAAACTTGCATCAAGACTAGCAAGAAATTGCTTTCCCAATGAACGATTCATGTCCCTTTCCCAAAAGAAAGGGAGATATTAATGGAAACTTTACGCGCACCAATGGATTCACATATCAAAACCATTGATAATTTGAGGAGGAGGGGTAGAATTTTGGTTAATATTTATTTACCATAAAGAGGATGAAGAGAGTATTAATTATTTATTATTTCATTGTCTTTTTACTAAAGATATTTGGGGATGAGCCTTTGGAATGATGCAGGTTCATTTATTGTTGCCGCAATTTGTAGCCCATACTTTTCAGTAGTTTGATATCCCGGAAATCCCTAAGTGTGGGCAGATTATTTGGAAATTTCTTAGGGAAGCAATTTTATGGGAGGTGTGGAAAGAGATGAACAGTCGAACTTTTGATGGGGTTCTTCTTAGTATTGAGGAAGTTAAGGGGAGATTTCTCAAAGATTTGTGGTGCTGGTTCTCAATTACTAAGGAGGGTTTTCTTGAAGGTAGATGTGTGGATGAATCTTAAAAACATTGTGAACAGTGGTACTTGGCATCTTCATCGTAGAGGAAGATGATATCCACCTGTGGACAAATGTATTAAGCTAAACTTCGATGGTAGCCGTTTCTGTAATCCATGATTGGTGGGAATTGGTGGTGTATTTAGTAACTTTTCTTCACATATTCTCCTTTCCGACGCGGGTCCATGTGGTTATGTGACAGCTAATGAGGCTGAGTTCCAAGCAGTGTTGCAAGGAGTTAAACTCATCAAAGAGAGGTGGCCTTCTGTGCCTTGTGTTGTAGAAGAGGACTCTTTGAAGTGGTGAACTGGTGTACGAGGTACAACAGGCCTCCATGGGTTTGTTATCAATATGGGCTGAAGTTAAGGATTTATGTGAGAAATCGAAGGTTTCCTTCTAGCATGTGTATGATGATGCAAATTCAGTTGCGAATAGTCTCACAAAGTGTTGGGCGAGCATGGAGGAGCATCTGGTTTTGGAGGAGTTAATTCATGTTTGAGTGTATTGAAAAAAAAAAAAAAAAAAAAAAAGAAAAAAAAGAAAAAAAAGAAAAAAAGAGATAAGAGATGGGCTTCTTAAATAAATAAATTTGGACATTCAAATAAGAGAACAAAAAGCACGTCATATGAGAATAACAATAATAAGCAAAGCCTATTCTAGGGATGATAAGAGAGAAGTAGATAGAGAAATAGAACCAGAACCAAATCCCAATTTGAAGATAGAATAAGCAAAACCAGATCAAAAAATCCAAGTGCTGCTAGAGCGAAAAATCCAAACCCTTTGAATGCAGGAATATGGTAATGGCTTCTTTATTGTGAACTTCTTTTCAGTTATAACTCTTGCGATGCATAAGCTTATGAGCGTCTAGACTCTATTGCTACAGTTAGCACTTAAAAAAGAAAAAAAAAAGGGAAAAAATATTATGCTACAGAGAAATCTCAGTGTGTCGCATGAGTCCTAGAGAGATGACTCAAATAGAAATTTGTGAAATTTACAGAGAAAAGGGCCCTTGAGTTATGTCTCTATGGGGAATTGGAAGCATTAGAAAATGGGAGCTCAAAAAGTTGGAGGTCTGAAATCTTGATTTAAGAATTGGGGAATTAAAACACTCGTCTTTGTATGGTTCATTGACTAGATGGTAAACAATTTGGTTAATTTAGAAAATGGGGAATTTGAAAACTAGCCTGTTTACACTGTTTATTTTGTCGTTCCTTTGATTTTTCTATTGAAAAAATTTATATAGAGCAGAGCCTCTAAACAATCAAATTAGAACCCACTTCAAAAATTTCACTAAAAGAGATTGTTTTGATGTACAAATATCTTCAAATTGATCATCTCGGTATCAAGATGCATGGACATGAGAAAAACATTGAGTTCAAGTTTTGAAAATAATGTATCTTATATTTGCATATTTGGACTGTCAATTTTTTAGATTTTCAATTTTTCATAAATCAGCTCAATCTATACTATTTTTTATGCTTTAAATCTTATAATTAGAGATGAGAATATATTTTAAGGCTATTACAAATATTTCCAACATTGAAACCACATTTCTTGACACTATTTGAAGTTGCGCTCACCCTTTTCCCATGGATAGAGATATTTTGGTGGTAATCCGCCCATAACATTAGGCTTTGTTTCAAAACTAGGCGATTCATGATCTGGATGCGGAATCGATCGCGACCAAATCAATTATGATATGGTGTGTGTCTCGACCCTCTCCCCTTAAAATTCCGGACTTCACATTTTTTCTTTTCACTTGAAGCTTATCCAACGTCACTCCATACACCTTTAATTAATTTTTATTTTACTTTATTTGTTTTAAATTTTTTCAATCCGGATGATATGAGAACCATCCGAATTATCGATTCAACAGATCCAGATGAAGATAAGGGGCGGATGATCCACCCGGTGATCGGATTTTTAAAACATTGACATCAGGTAGAAAATCAACCTTTTAACTTACGAGTGCTCAAAACTTATGTTGTATATACGCATTTTCTCCATAGGGGGGCTTGAATAGATCAAACCTTTTGGAGTAATTATTGTAATTTTGTATGGTTGGGGGGCACCTTGTTGAGGTGAATTCTCAATCAAGATATCCAATACGGCACGAAACTAGCTTAGTCAAATATGGAGTACAACGCTGGCCTAAATTGTGTGGGTCTTATTTCGAAAAGGAAAATTGTATCGAAAATTGCAATTCAGGTATTAGAAAATTTTTACGAGGATTATCTTGGCTTGAACATTATTGTCGTAAAAAAAAACAAGGACTTCAAGCTCTAAAAATATTGTATATTGTAACTTTATGTTTTTTTTTGTTTTTTTTTTTTCAGAAGGCAGGTTTCCATTTAGGTACCACTGTACTCCCTATCTTTTAATGGTTGAACTGCTTCATTTTTTCTAGTGCAAGAATCACCAAAGCGGATACAGTCAATAAAAGCATTATCTCATGGCATGAATTAAGAATTAGCATGAATTAGAATGAAGAATCCCACCAACCCCATATTTGTTTTTTGTTGAAGGAGGAAACTTTTCTTGTTTGAAGGAGACCCGAGACGTGCAGGAGACGCGGTGTCCAAGTATTCAATTAATGAAATGCCCTATAAAAAAGGTCGGTCCCTCAAACTTTAGGACAAAGCATCATCAGCAATCAGCACAATACAAAACCCACCAAATTTAGTTATCAATGGGTGAGGAATTTGCAGATGTTGTGATAGTAGGAGGTGGGATTGCTGGCCTCGCCACCGCTCTCGCTCTAAAAAGGGTGGGTATTAATGGGGTTTTGGTTTTGGAGAAGGCGGATGAGCTGAGAGCCACAGGATCCGCCCTCACCCTGTTCCCCAACGCCTGGCGTGCACTCAACGCACTTGGAGTGGCTCATAAGCTCGCCCCTCTCTACCCTCCTATTCAAAGGTTTGTAAATTTTTTAGTGGTTTTAAGTCTAGGATTTGCGTTTTATGGTGTGTGTGTGTCGGTGTTCCACAACCCCGCCGATCAAACCACAACCGGCCACTTGCCAAGCTGGTTTTACCTGGTTTAGGTGGTTCGGCCGGATATTTTTTAAAAAATATAAAATCCCAAAAAATAACGTATTAGTATGTAAAGTGTTCTTGAAATTTTTTTTTTTTAATCATTTTAAAATAATGTAAAGGGTTTTGGCTACAACTACATACTTTTAATTTTTTTTTTTTCTTTTAGATTATTTCTAAAATACCCTTGAGTGCAATATGGTTTTCTAAAACCTTTTTTTTTGACTTCTTTTCAACTCTATTTCATTTGGAAATGTATTTTATTTAAGAGTGCCGTTTATATAGAGGCTCTAAACCATCAAAGTAGAGTCCACCTTTAAATAGTGTCAAGTGATGTGTTTTAGTACTGAAAATCTATGTGATAGCTTTAAAATATATTTTCGTATTATAAAATTTAATAAAATTTAAAGCTTAAAAAATAGTGCAGATCGAGTAGATCTACGAAGCTTGAAAATCTTGAAAATAAATGATCCAAAAATGCATTACAAGATGCAATATTTTCAAAACTTTGAAATCCATTTTTTTTCTCATGTCCGGAAAACAGGTTGAGCATTGGTGTGTGTATTTTTTTTTTGTTTAGGTGGTGGCCCTTTTTATTTTGTTTTTCTATTTGGCATAGTTTTTTAATCGATTCTTTTTATTTGGTGCAGAGGTTCAGTGACATTAATTAGTAGTGGAGTTACACTTCCGCTTTCGGTTCCTGGAGACAATGATGGGTGAGTATCGGTGGAACCCAACTTAAAATTTAAGTAACAAAAAACTCTGATGCATACAGCTGTAGTTACAATTTTCATAGTATTCAGAAATATAAATAAAGAAATATTAATCTGACTTCAAGAGAAATTTTAATCTGATCTTATTTAGTTGAGAAAAAGTTTTGACGATGATAATGATGAAAGAGAGAAATCTTATCCCATAAATTTTCACAATTACATAAAAAAAAGAATGTGATTGTGTGAGTTTTGTAAAATTGGATGTCTTTATTCATGTGTGAAGTTCGAGTTGCAGGAACGGGATGGGGGTACGATGTGTTCACAGGAAGGCTCTTCTTCAAGCCCTTGCAGATGAGCTGCCATCGCGCACCATCCGCTTTGGCTGCCATGTGGCATCCATCGAGACCCTTTCTGACTCATCCTTTGCCCTAATTCGTTTAGGAGATGGATCTTCTATCAAGACCAAGGTACCCTGTTCTTTTGAATCTATGAAGCGTTTGGTGGGGCTTTAATAACTTTAGAAAGACTGTCAATTTACTCGGCCTTGCGATCTAACAAGCGGGATTATATACAATTATACCATTACCTCTAGAACGGGGATGTCACAATTACCTAAGGGAATTTAGTGTGAAATTTGATGGCTTAGGTCTGAGTGTCTCGTAAAGTTCGATTTTTTTTGAACTTTGAGCTTGGTCTAGGGAATAAATGAAGCCACCCAAGTTTACATCTAATGGTCAATTTTAAAAGTATGTTTGGTGGGCATGAAAAAGTTCCTTTACGTTGTTTGCAAAGGTAAATGTTCTTATTGTATACTTTTCTCTAACAAATAGATTGGTTCGGCCTAACAGACCTTGATATTATGATGACAGGTTCTCATAGGGTGTGATGGCGTGAATTCTGTAGTGGCTCAATGGCTTGGGTTGAGTGCTCCCGTTCTTGCTGGGCGCTTAGCCGTGCGAGGTTTGGCATCATACGGTGGCCACGGGCACAAGCTTGGACACGAAGCGCTACAATTTGTCGGCGACGGCTTGAAGGGTGGCATTGTTCCAGTCAATGACCATGAACTCTATTGGTTCCTCACCTATAAATCGACACCACAAGGTAAAGATCAACACCCCACTTTCCCCCTTTGCTTTTTTATTGACAACTCTGTTCGCTTATGAGTGAGGGTGATAGCCTCACATTTACTCATGGCCAATGTAAATGCCTGGTTTTTGAAATGGTGGAGGTACACCATACACATAATGGTAGTGAAACCGAACAAAAATTATATACAAAACTCGGGTTAGCTATCAACCATTTTCCAATGTTTTGGAATCTAATAACACGATTAATTTTTCATAATCTTTTACCTTCCAGAAGTGGAGTTGGTAGGACAACCGGAATTGATTCGCAAAAGCGTGGCTGAGAAGACTGCTGAAAAATTCCCCACAAAATTCTCAGAAATTATCAGGAATACGGACTTGTCTACATTGACACTCGCACAATTGAAACTCCGATGTCCTTGGGACTTGATCTTTCGAGATTTGACACGAGGCAATGTTGCAGTGGCTGGAGACGGAATGCACCCTATGACACCGGACCTTGGTCAGGGCGGGTGTTCTGCATTGGAGGATGCCATTTTCTTAGGAAGAAACTTGGGAGAAGCATTTCAAAGAAACAATTTTGATGGATCATCAGTGGAAGAAAGCTTGAAGAAGTATGCTAGAGAAAGGAAATGGAGGGCAGCAGGTCTAATAAGTGCATCTTATTTTTCAGGATGGATTCAGGGACACAACGGCTGGTTTGTGCAGTTGGTGAGGGATAAATTACTTTCAAAGATCTTCTATAGCAGGGGCGTACGTTCACTTGATTACGATTGTGGAGAGCTGCCTGTTGTTTCCTCTGGTTGATTTTTGTTCTGCACTTTTTTTTTTGGAGTTATGATTTGATTGATTATGATTATGGGGAGTTGCATATTGTTTTTTCAGGTTGATTTTATTGTGCACGGAAGTTTTAAATTCGATGGGTTAATATTTGACAAATAAAGTACGAGAAATAAAACATGAAACATATATAACAACAACGTATATACAACAAAAACACATAGATTTATCGATACCAATGAAAGTTACAACAAAGATTTTGGAACAAGCTTCGACAAAAATTCTAGTTTTAAATAACTACTTCTCGCAATATATATCGAGACGAGAGAGCATCGAGATACAAGAGCAACAAGAAACTGATTTTCTCTCTTACTAAAAGGGAAACCACCAAAAATGCTAATAGGAATCGTTTATCTACAAGAAACAAGCCACTCAATTTTTGGAAGTCTAAAAGATGTACCATCACAGTTTTCTCTCTTACTAAAAGGGAAACCACCCAAAATCCCAATCGGAACCACTTAGTCGCAAGAAACACTTAACCACAAGAAACCATCCAAAATCCCAATTATTAAAAAAGAAACCACTCAAAATCACAATGGGAACCACTTAGCTGCAAGAAACAAGCCTCTCAATCTTCAGAAGTCTTAAAAGGTATCATAACAGTTTTCTCTCTTACTAAAAAAGAAACCACCCAAAATCCCAATAAGAATCGCTTAGCCTCTAAATCTTCAGGAGTCTAAAAGAGTTACTATCACAATGTTTCAGTCCAAAGGAATCTCATTTCAGTTCAAAGAAAGCTCACTTTTCCTTAAAAAAAATTAAGAGTCTAAAAGAAATTGAAAGTCTAAAAGATGTACCATCACAATGTTTATGTCCAAAGAGCTTGGAAGCTCTCTTCTCTCTAAGAAGAAATAGGGCTTTGCCCACTTCTCTTTCTAAAGGAACCATCATTCCCATATGGTGACCCAAATAAGGCACATCTCTCTCTCTCTCTCTCTTACGATAAACACCATTCCAATATGATGACCCAAATCACATCAATTCTCCGCACTTTCATCCCATATATATCAAATTAAGAGTTCATATTAAATTGAAAACTTCTTATAGATATTAAATATATCTCAAAATTAGGAGATATATCCAAGAGTCTTAACATTTTGGATTTTTATTTCCCTTAGGAAACTTATCAATATCAGTTTCAATCCCATATGAGAATATCTCAATCCCACATAATATGATTTTTCTTGGTGATTTTGGATAGCACCAAATCCAATAGAGTTTAATTCTTGGTTTTTTTTATATAGCTTAATTGAAATTTAAATCTTGAATGCTATTATGCGCCTTTCATGGAATATTTGATATATTTCAATGGTTGAATTAAGATTTCCTTTTCACTAGTTCTGAATCCTTTTTTCACTAGTTCTGAATCCTGGTCTTTCACTCGTATGTATCGATGGGGATAAACAAGACATGAAGCTTTTTTTTTCGTTTGTTTTTTGAGAACCATGAATTTAGGGTGATGCGAAGTTGATAAACAACTAACTAGGAGAGCTTTCATGACCAAAGGGTTTTTGCATCTCTGATTTACCGTATGATCCATTTGGTTTTAGAAAAAGAAAATTGTTTTACCCGCATTCCTACAATTTGCAGTCCAAAGGTATAAAGCATCAAAAGATGGATGCAAATAGGTGGTCCATTTAAAAACGAGTGTAAACAAGGGTCCTAATGGTTTTTTTATATAATTATTGATTTTAGATTTTAAATTTTTTTTTTTTTTCATGATCTTCATGTTAAAGATTATATAATTTTTAAAAATTAGGATCAAATTATAAAATGCCATTATTTGGATTGCATTAGCATCATTGTATTATAATAATATTATAATATAATATTGTAATATAATATTATATAACATATATTAATATAGATTAACTATATATTATAATGTATAATTAATTATGAATATTATGCATATTATAGATATTAATCATTATGTGCCTTACCATATATTAATTATTATATAATGGAAATAAGGATGAGGTCCTAAACAATCAAATTAAGGTGCACTTCATAAATTCACTAGAAGAGGTTGTTTCAATGCTTAAAAACCCTTGCACGGATATGAGAAAAGATAGATTTTCAAGGATTAGATATAGTATTTCTTGTAATATATTTTATCTAGATCGTCAATTTTCAGGATTTTCAACTTGATCTTCACTATTTTTGTTCTTTAAATTGTAAAATTATATAAATAAATAAATTTCCAGGCCATCACAAAAACTTCTGATACTAAAACAATATGTTTCGGCACTATTTAGTGGTGCGCTACACTTTGATTGGTTAAGGCCTTAACCTTATACAAACTTCACCCTTATGTAATAGATATTGCTTAATTATAATTGTTATATATAATTATTAAAATTATATAATTAATGTAATTATTACATGGAACTATTACATATAATTTAGTAATATATTCATAATTATCTATATAATTGTTATATGTAATTGGTATGTTAATTATATATTATAATATAAATTAGTTATTATGTATATTCATATATATTACTTATTATATAATAATTATTATAATTATTAATTAATATATTATTATTTCAGTGGAATATCTATCTCCACATTTTGGTCTCAAAACATGAAAGACTGTATTTTACCTATTTGGTAGAATACACATTTTCGATTTTTGGGCTTAAAATGTGAATACCAATCTCTACATGAAAATTGAAATCCCACATCCAGGGCACATCCAAACTGGCGGTATCTATGAAAATCGATCTTCCAGAGACCCATTACCAACGAACCAAATGGTCCTAAAAAAAGATGCGAAGAGAATATACAAATTTCTAGAGAGAGAGAGAGAGAGGACTTCTGTTTTTGAGCTCATCCTTGTAAAGTTGGTCATACATGGGTTTTGGATAAATAATAGTAGAAAAGAAAAAGGGCATCAAAGAAAGAAACATAAGAAGAAGAAGAGAAGTAAACATAAGAAGAAGAAGAGAAGTAGATAAGGGGCAATGGGTGGATTCAAAAGTATGTCGATAGAAGTAGTTCGAAAAGATATTGAGACTTATGACTTCACTGAGGGTGTGATCTTTAATAGAGCAGAATGACGAACAAAAATTCATGTCGCCGACTTCAATTAATTGTATAAAAACTATGAAGATGATGATGAAGAGAGCGGAGATGGTTGTTACCTAGTTTTTAGAGAGAGAATAAGAGATTAAAATGATCACCTAAGACCTGGTTTAGAGAGAGAGAGAGAGAGAGAGAGGAGAGAATCAAGAAATTTTTATGTAGCGAGAGGAGAGGCGTGAGTTTTACAACCAATATACTCTTCACCGTAGACCTGTTTTCAAATAGGTTGCCCAATCAAGTCCCCATCCCAAGGCTGGGTTTAGATAAGAAGGTATGGAGGTGGAGTCCCATACCATTAAGTATGAAAAGGTCTAAGGAGATCATTGTTTATTCTTTTATACCTGAAGTTTTGTTAAAGGAAAATCAAAATAAATAAAGCCTCACCTCATAACTCCCCAAAAATTACAATTCAAGCGTTATAAAACGTCTTACATTGATCACCTCAGCTTGAACATTATGGTTGTGAAACAACATTAAGATTTCACGCTCCAAAAATAATGTATATTGTAACAAATTATCTAAACCGTCCGTCTCGCCCTAAAAGTAAATCTTCACTGATCCATAAGATTTGTACATTTTTTGAGTTTCATATTTTATTGTTGGTGTTGGAAATTAATTTTAGATCCATCATAAAGATTCCATTGCCAAAAGTGCTTTCTAAATAAGGATTTGATGTAAGGTTTTATTTTACATTCATAAAGCTTAGGCCTTATAGAAACTTCATCTTTTGTTGATATGGCTAGTACATGCCATTTAAAATAATAAAGAAATATCAAAATACTTTGTCGCTTTTTATAGGACAATTTTTTTTATTGTTTTGCTAAATTATTTTTTCTTATCAAAATAACCTAACATTTTGTTAAAATGGGGACTCAAACGATTTGTCCTTGTGTTTAAATGATCAAAACTTGCCATATAAAAAATGGAACAAAACTAAGGGAACGCATATCGACATCCCCAAGATTTTTGGTGGGCAATCAATAAAGTACAGAAAAAGTTTATATAAGGTTGCAACTTTAAATGTAGAATCACATGTACACCTAAAAAATCTATCGGAAAGATTGTTTTAATAGTTAAAAGCCCTCTAATTGACAATCTCGACATTGAGATATATGAATATTCAAAAAAAAGTTTGTGAGTCCCAAAAATAGTACATCTTGCAACGCATTATCTAGACCGTTCATTTTCAAGATTTTCATATGTTTATAGATCTACTTGATTTTAACTATTTTTAAAGTTTAAAATTTTCTAATTAGATATGAAAATAGTTTTTAAGATAATCCTTAAAAACTTTTACAACAAAAATACATATTATGATAAAATTTGGAGGTGTGCCTTAATTGGATTGTTTAAGGCTGCAACCTTATAGAAACCGCACCCATCAAATAAAGGAACAAACCTAAGGGAGCATATTCACTTTTTAACACCAAACCTAATATTTTTGGTCGGTGGACAATAGGAAAGTTGAACACATGAATTAGAGGGCCGAATTACAATACAAAATTATTGAAATTGTGAAGTCATCCTATTTAATATTAGGAGTATTGCTTCATTTTAGCAAGGTACCTATTAAAAATAGTGGAAAATACTCAATTGTCTTCGTTTAGAATTTGAAATCCTGAATAAATAAAGACATTTTTGTGATTTAGTTAAACTTAAGATCCGTAACAAAAATACCCTAGTTTCGGGGCAGCCAATATGGAACAAGGTCAATAGAAAAAGTAAGTTTTGTGTTGCTAACTGTAAACAAACAAAGATAATTTCATCATTTAGTAGTTCCATGTTGCTGAATAAATAAGGATATTTTTGTTTTTTTTGGTTTTTTTTTCTTTTTTTTGCCATTTAGCTTGAGCACCAAGTTGGGCTAAATGATTAAAATGTTCTTGTATGTTTATAGGAATGCAAGAGGCACCACTCTACTTGAAGCCGTACCCTTCGTACATTGATTGGG